TCCCTGAGAAATGAACCCATCTCCTAGCCCTGCTGTGGAGGCTGGGGGGCTCTCTAACTAAAGGGTGTATTCTCAGGTTCCTGGACACAGAACACAGAGTTACTTCCAACAGTGGAGGGCAACACCGTTTTGGTGAGATGCCAGTATGATCCCAGCCAACGCTTCAAGGAGAAAGCGTGGTGTCAGGAAACACGAGAAAAAAATTGTAAACTGTTAGTGTCCAGTCTCAGCACAGATGCTCAGCAGTCAAAATTCTCCATCTGGGACTATCCTGATTATCAATTCTTCACTGTCACCATGACTGCACTCACGGTGAGAGACTCGGGTCCTTATTTCTGTGGGGTCGCTGAAAATCGCAGAACGATCTTTATTCTCAGAAACATCTACCTGAAGGTGTCAAAAGGTGAGCTCCCCCTTCTATGTGGCTCTCAGCCTTCCTGAGTCACAAAGACTCTAGAAACTGCTTCCTCTAGTACCTGAGAGCTGGGCACAGGGAAGAAAGGCCCCTCCCACAAGGCTTGCTGGCCTCTGGGCAGTTCTCACCAGTTACTCTGAACACTTCTGCTGCTGCTAACAGGAATCTCTTTACTGAAGGATCTTATCGCTCCCCCAGCTGTCACAGCATCCTTTCCTGAACATCCCTTGACTGTAATCCCATCAGAAACCTTCTCTCTAGGGGTGGTGGGCTCCATCACATGAGAGAGACCTCAGGGCAAATGGACAGGGCACCGAGAGATGTGGACAGAGAGGAGACAGCTGGACAGAGAGGCACACAGGAGGCTTAGAGCCCAAGGTGGGGAGATGTGGGTTCTCGTACAGGACCTGCCCTTGACAGCTGAGAGTCTCTGAGCTCTGGGAAGGCAGCCCAGCAGCTGCTCCTGATGACTTGGGTCTCCTGTGTGTCTCATGCTGAAGACTGCAGTGGCGGGGAGCTTTCTGAGTTAGTCTCTCGTGTCCATAAGTTCACAGGGTGAACAGCTCCTCCCAGAGCTTTCCCTGCTGCATAGTGTGTCCAGCCCTTCGGTTCCATGGGTGCCTGGAGGTTATGTTTATGAAAGCTTTGCCACAGCACACTCCATGTTGGGGAGGCATTGGTTGTGACCTTCATATGTTCAAGCATAGTGGACCCAGGATGGGGAGACACTCAGCCGATAAAGTGCTTACCAAGTGTGACGGTTTTAGTTGCCAATGTGGCAGAACCCAGAATCACCAGGGAGACAAGCCTCTGGCCACACCTGTGAGGGATTATCTTAGTTTGAGGTGGGAAGACCCATTCTAAAAGTGGTGGCTCCATTCCCTAAGCTTGGGTTATAAAAGTATAAAAGGGAAAGTGGCCTGAGGACATTCATTGCTCTCTACTTCCTGACTGGATGCACTGCAACCAGCTGCTTCCAGTTCCTGTTGTCCTGACTTCCTGCTGTGGTGGACTGTCCTGTGAACTGTTACTGTTGTCCTGACTTCCTGCTGTGATGGACTGTACTCTAAACTGTTCCTGTTGTCCTGACTTCCTGTTGTGATGGTCTGCACTCTGAACTGTTCCTGTTGTCTTGAGTTCCTGCTGTGATGGACTGTCCTGTGAACTGTTCCTGTTGTCCTGACTTCCTGCTGTGATGGACTGCACTCTGAACTGTTCCTGTTGTCCTGACTTCCTGCTGTGATGGACTGTCCTGTGAACTGTTCCTGTTGTCCTGACTTCCTGTTGTGATGGACTGCACACTGAACTATATGCTACAACAGACTCTTTTGAATTAGGAAAGCAGCTGAACACTTTAACCAGACTTAATGAGCCGTACTATTAGGAATGTTGAAGACAGTGGTGCTGTGTGTAGGCCTGGCTCAGCAGGTTTAAGAGGAGAATTTAATATGTGACCTAGAGGTCATTTTTTGTA